TTTTTGCTCGTTACCCTCTAGCAGTAGCAGTATTTTATTGAATGTTTTTATAATACATGTCAAATATAGCTCTCACAAATATACTACAACAAAAAAACAGACAATGCGTGAAAAGCGTAAAACGCGTATTTATACAAAAAAGAAACAATTCACCAACAGATAATTCAAACAATAAGAGCATTTACAAATCAATTTTTGTACATAATAAATATAACTAAAGATCACGACTACGTCATAATGATGACACTAAGACATGCATAAGAATACGCTTGATGTCATGGCTAACGTAATCGTAATCTTTCCTAACTACTATACAATCTGTATGCCAGAAATAAGGCCCTACAATAACCCGAAAATGAACTGCACCCAAATCCCGAATAACGCTTTTTTGAACCTTGAAGAGATTCAGGAAAAGCTGCATATATGTCGACCCGCATACTTTTGATTGAAATAAAGAGAAATTGCATGATTTAAAAATTAAGAGTAATAGTCATGTAAAAAAAATGACACTGGACAAGTGGTATGTATGCTAACTAACAAAGTTTATCATCACTAGTAAGGCCAAGTCTTGTCTTTGTGGGAAAGTCTTTGGTCTATTCTTTATTTAATATTTTTGGTCTGATGTGGTCTAACAAAATATAATACATAATATCACAGACAACCTATACTTGATCCTTTTACAAAATTGCTGTGGGCTATGTGCAATTCATTAAAATAGAAACAATATCAAATGGCAAGTTTCGAAAGCTCGAACGTCCTCTATAGATAACACGATCAAATTGCCCATCCATTTAACGACGGTAAGAAGTTAGACGTTGTTTACAGTTATTAATCCTATTAATCATATGATTTGTTATATGGTATGCAAGCTCGAAGCTGCCAATAGACATTATGTGTTAATTTACGGGCGAATGCAAAACGACTTCTATATAAACAAGCATAACATGTCGATTAAAGCATTATCTAATTTATGACGTCGGACGGCGACCAGAAAATGATCTCGGTGGAAAAGGAGAAAATTTAAAATTACAACTTCTCCGGTTTACACGCCATTAGTGGTCAATATTATGACCGGGGGCCATCGTCGAGCGAAGTTTTATCGTCAATAAAGTTTGCTCAACGATCAAACAAGAATACTTATTCAGTTAGATTGCTCGCAAAAGCGACGTTGCCCGATCGGTGATCAATTCATCGATCGAAGTGACATTAGTAAATAACTGTACAGGGGATACAAACTTATTACTAACTGAACTGGTTAGAGATTTCAGAGACAACTGTGTTGGTTCCTTATAGTCTACGCAATTTTAATTTTTAATGCATTGACGTTTCTTCTGTCAGATTTGAGATTGAGATTGACATTCAAAATTTCGCAACCAATGAGGCAAATTCAAAGTCAACAAAGAGTGAAGCATTTGATTTTATTTACCGCCACTAACACCGAGCTCAATTAAATCTGGATCCGAACTTTATTATATGATACAAAGTGTTCCTTTTGCAAAATATCAAAATGGCCAAAATAGAAATTTCGGTCTCTGGAATTGGAATTATGTAAAATTTGGAAATTTTATCCTTATACCTTTACCACCCTACAAATATGCAAAAATCTAAGTAAAAAAATTAACAATTCAATTACAAATTAATACCATATATATCTATATATTTTTGAAATAAACTTCATCATTATGAAATAATTTAAATTCAACTAGTTTTAAAGAATAATCATGTAAAATTCATGTTAGAAACAAAAACAAGAAAAAAGAAATCCTAAATGTGATTCTCACCATTACTTCTATTTACTGGTATTGTATAAATGTTTGGTGTCATCTAAAATTACCAAAAAATAAAATTTTGGAAGGTTAAATTTGATTTAAGAAGTTCCACTACAGATCGTAGTGTATTTGTCTATATATGGTGAGAACGTGAGGACTACAAAAAATTTGTAGACAATGAAAAATTGTCAGGGATGTGATAGATCAGTAAATAAACATTGCGACGCGTTAACCAATAATCTCGGTGTATTTTTGAGAAGCTCACATATATAAATACCAATTAAAAGCATTTTTGAATCCACATTATTTTTTTCGAATACCATAATTTTGGAAATCCTTAGAAATATTTCGTTTATGTACATGGACATATTTCATATTTTACGATTGTTTTCAATTTTAATACAATCTTGCCTTGTCGTCCATAATTATATGCCTTTACAAAATACGAAACAAAGGCAACACTAAAAGAAAGGCCGCAATATTTCCGACAAGCGTTAAAAGAATAAAAATTGTTCAAAGGCGGCGACGAATCCGACGATGTTTACATTTTAATCATATTTCGATCTTTTCGGTCTTTAACGTCGAAAGTCTTGTGTTTCCATTTCTTTACCTGTTCATTTAGACGCGGTCAAGTGTTGTTTACTCGAAAAAAATAACGCCTTCTTTGTTTTAGAACTTGGTCGGTTTTCTATAAAGAATTTCCGCTATTAATTCAAAGCCGGATCGAAATAAGGGTAATGCAAACAAGGCGTAACCTTCTTTCTGTAAGCCAATTAATTAAATACATAATTACCAATAATCGGGCGAACCACTTCTGGCGTTTTCAATACTTTAGTCACCGGTTTGGGAACGATCGCATGCTTTGGGTACATTTTGACGTTTGTCAGTTCTAATGGTCACATCACTCAGTATGTATTTGTGCTGTCTTACTAAAAATGTACAAACGCACATTTATTAAACACTTGCTGCGCTCTGCCCATGACAAAAGGAACTGAAGTGAGTAAAAGGTTTATCAAAATTGCTACATTAATACCAATTATTGTGGTACTAACATCCCTCATAGGGAGCGAGACAGAGATGCTTCCTTGGAAACTACGTGTAAACTGCAAATTACGCGAATTTGTACAGTTACACAGTTTCTTCTTCGAAGGACCATTTGCCAAGTTGGAAGGTTCGACAAAACCCAGTCAATTATTTCAATGAATTTAATGATTAAATTTATCCATAGATTGATGAATAGATCTTCACGGTAGGTTTGCTGACTATTTACCTGTGGGTGTTCTTTAGTTGGGATGCTTAAACTTAGAGGAGTGAATACGTTTTGGCACGAGTGGAGCACAGTGAAACAAATTTTGTAAACGTGTGTCTGAAGAGGTTTATAAATATGTCGCATACTATACATTTTAGTTTTGAGGTGCCTTCACTGAGTTATGTGTGACGTGTTCCCGCCAGAACTGACAAACGTCAAAAAGTCTACCGACAATATCCGATCGCTCCCAAACCAGTGACTAAAAAGTGACCAGCTACAGTATTTAGCGAAGTTGACGTCTTAAAGGGACACTTTGCGAATACCTGATTAGTGCATAATTGGATATTTTTGAGTAGGTAGTAGAAAAATGTATTCTAACATAAAATATTTATATAATATATTTCGAGGCGGTACTTATTTTCATCATTAGTATAATGCCAATTTTAAAAATATTTGTAGTTTTGCTGGGCGACCCTGTGAAAAATTAGAGGGCCGCACATTTCTCTAAAAAGCGATCATCTGTTCTAATTTTAAGAAAGATAGAACACACTTCTACACGGATTGGTCAATTTAACGCTACACTAATACTCCTTTTCAAAGATATCCTAGTTTTTTCAAAATAGTTCGCCCTGATTGGTATAATGACTTTTTGAAATCCAAACAATTTTTGAAATAAACTGTTAGCAAAATTTATAAAAATCCATAGGGACAAAAATTCATAACCTACTGAGTCAAAAAATGCACAGGGTCTGATTTAAAATTCAGGTTAGCGGAGTTTCCGCTCAAATAAAAGTGAAATGCGCCGCCCATAGGGTGAGTTCCCACTGCCTTGTGTCACGCGGTAAACGAAACCTTTAATTTCATTTTTTTAATATCGCAACTTCTACTCGAAAGCTTATAATCAAAAACAATGTAGGTACTCGCGTCCCGTCAGACATTCACAACAACGGCAGACATATTAATAAAATGAAATTTAACAAGGACAAAGGCTCGAACAACAAACCCAGCGAGCGTAACGATGTTGATGGTTGGTGTCTCGTACATTTTTTTTTATTTTTAAACGGCGATATAATTTTCAAACAATACAAATAGCGACGTCCATTCTCGGAACGCGAATACCTATACACACGAACGCCAATGACGTCACGCGGCCATTTTGTTCAATTAACATAAAATTTGAATTGGTAATCGCGGGCGGCAAACAAAACAAATCCAAATTAACTTCGACCAATAATACCCGCGTTGGGGCCCATCGTTAAGTCGAAAATAGGTACTTATAACGATAGAGGTAACTCCGCTTTTAGGTATAGAGTTTCTTATCACTATATCGCTTAAAATTTTTCATCCCAATAGTGGCTGATTTTGAAATTTCCAATTTTAAGGTTAAAGTGACAACAAAATGCGATGTTCAATATCACGGGGATCAAGTGGATGCTGATTTGTATATAATTCGTACATCTTAGGAATTATCGACTTTTTTCGATTATACTTGGTGATTTATAGCGTACGTCGTGAAGAAATTGCAGTAATTTACAATGATTTATTTCACTTCAACGACTTGGAAGAATTTAAAATCTATCAAAAACTTCTCCCCAGTTTAATAGTAGATCTTCTAAAAGACACTCATTTTTTACAAATTACAAATAATATAATACCGAAGGAATGAAATAAAAAGTTGCTGCACAGTTTGGTAGGTATATACCACGAGTTACAACATTTTTTTGAACCAAAAATACATTTTTCGCTTTTCTCAATGAAGTCCATGAGTGTTGAAAATGTGAAAGTAAAAATATACAAAAATCTATTTTTATCTTAAAACTAAAGCCTTGTAGCTACAAATTTAAGAGTTCTAAGGGCAATAGTTTTTCTTTTTAAAATAACGATTTACTTGTGGAAAATACCGGCGAAGAAAGATAAGCAATAACATTATCAACCAATCAAAATTATAAAGGTGAGGATAAATTACAAACAAAATTGATTACCTTTGGTAATATTTAATCGTAGTTGCTCTTTTTCCCACGACGCGAAAGACGCTTTCAGCGCCTCCGCCATGGTTTTGTTGGTGCCCGGCGTCAATGGCGGAACTTGCGTCGGTATATCTGTAAAGACAAACAAAAATTTTCATACTTTTTCCTCTTACTCATACAGCTAACTTTATTATTGTGTTGCGTATGATGTTTTATATTTTCATTAAATAATTTATAACTTTTGTGACAAAACAACTCAAGTTCAAGTCTTCGTTTTCTCTACAATCGAATGTGATTTTCAGGAAGCATTTTAGACAGAAATAGTTTGGTTCATATTACTACTATTGCCTACTTGACTAATGGGTACACTACAGCAATTCTACTATTCTGGGTTTCTTCCTGTTAAGATCAACCTTCCAGATAATATCTCTCAACAAATTTCCGTTTGTTTTGAGAAATTTCTAGACTTCGTTTTATACCCTACCATATAACATATAACATAACCGGGGTCGATGTTAAGTTGATTAAGATCCCGGTTCAGATTCAAGTTGCTGAGTTCACAATATTAATTTAAGGTACATGCATTTTTATGCACCTGATTCATACTTGGATATTTGACTAATGATAGGTCAATTCTATATTCAGTCAAGTATGCTTTTGCTTCATCACACGAAATCTCATAGTGGCGGTTTGCTATTACTTACTACCAAAATAAGTTTTGCGCTAGAAGCCTGTCGACTACCAACTCAGGGTTCCTTCAACCACTACGATTGTTGGTTTTGCAGTAGATTATTTATTGACCGCAGTAAAAAAATCTCATCCGGTACCGTTAAGTGATAAACACTCTGCACGTATAGTAGTAGCGCCCTTTTTGCTGTTAATATGTAAACAAGAACGTGTGTGCGAACTATATGAAACATGCGACTACCTATATATATATATATATATATATATATATATATATATATATATATATATATATATATATATATATATATATATATATATATCGAGTAAGTTAAAAAGTGTGGAAAAATCCTTATTGATTGTGATGGTATTAAAGAACAGAACAATAATATAAAAACCAAAAGAACTTCGAACTTCCATTGTCCGTATATACGTGTAAAACGGACAGAGAAATAAAGACAATGGATATTCAAAGTTCTATTAGTTTTTACATTGAAACGTTATCTATGGAAAGCAAGTAACAAACCATTTAGGATTTTACTCTTTCCGAGCAAAAAAAGAAGATGAAGATGGTATTCTATCATAGCCAGAGATTAGGCCGTCAGCAAAGAGGGTATCGGTATGAATTACTGCCCAATAAATCTCGCCGAGAGATATGAATAAAAGTATACCAGTTGTTTAAAGTGTGCTTGGAGAAAGAACAGATCAAGAAAATAACGGAACAATTCTTTGGAGTAAACAATGAAAAAAAAATATGTATTTGTGGGGTCGAAAAAAATAAGTTTCTTGCCTACTTCATCGTTTCTCAGTAGCATTCCGCCACTCTAGAGACATAAAAATCCATCAATCTCCGAGTCCGTTGGAAATTAAATTTCTTAAATACGGTAAAGCAATAAGTGAACAAGAGATTGTGCATTTGTTACAAAACATCGAATTTTTCCTTTTGAGGCAAAATGAATTTTGAGATCTTTCGTTAAAATATACAAAAATATTTTTTTCTGTTCATACTTTTCGCTCGCTCGGTACATAGTGCAAAAAATGTTCAGAGACTCGCGACAACAACCATACGCTCCCGCAAACAGGCATTGTATTTATTTATAATCCTACGTTTCATGCCATCAGTATGACGCAGTCTGTTAAAACGTGTTTGGTACGGAGCGACGGAAGTCGATGTTTAAAGTTTCAAATTATGTCATTTAATTTATTCTTTCTAATTGGGTAAAACACTGCTGGGTTAATAGAGGGAGGTGGCGAAGATAATTCAATGGAACATGAGTAGATTTTTTTCAGTTTCTGGAACAAAACCAGATGATTAAATGACAGAGCTAGGCAACCCAAATTGCTCCTTCCGTTTGCCTTTTGACTAATGGTATTTCCAAACGGCTCGATTTTATTTGGATCAAGTTTAAACAGGGACCACATAAACCATCGACTGGAGTTGGTCACTGCATTGCAGTCATTCTATGTGGAAAAATTTCGCATGCACAATAATCCTTACATAACATTCCGAGATACACTTGTATTCGGTTTAGACAACATTTTCATAGAATATCTATTCAAAATTAGAAATAGTAAACAGCAAGAGCTGCTGTAGTTTGGATCTAACTGTTAATGCATTGACGTTCCTCGTAAAATAAAAGTTACTTTTTTTTTCTATCGTACAATGAGCTCGCGTCTTTACTCAGACGGCTGCCCAGGTTTTATTAAAAAAAAAAGTTACTAAAACTAACCTTTCGAAACTTTCATATCCCCTTCCTTTACCTCGTCGACTCGGATCGATTGTTTTTCTTTAAACACGGGACAAACCAGACCCGCAATAAGTCCGTTTTTTTTGACGGGTAATAGATTTAGTTTCTTTGTTTTGCAAATTTCTGCGATTTTTAATCGTTTTTTCAATTGTTTTGTTATTAATGACTGTGGATTAGACATTGTGACAAAAAGATTAGAGTGTTGAAATCTTTGAGGATCGCCTGAGTCCGCCCCTTCAAAAACCTAACCTAACAAATAAAAAAGTTTATTCAGTGCAAACTATAGTGCTAAAATTCCTGGTGCCTATATGTTTCTGTAAAACTCAAGTTACACAGAAAACATAAACTCGAAAATTGTTGATAATTATTTTTTATGAAGTTCCGAAAATAATCTCAGGCAAGCGTAGGCACCAAAGAAAAACAATATGTGCTACATTTCTGTTTGATTCATTCCCTATCTCAAAGGGAGTTCCCGGTTGTTTTATTTCGCTATAACGTGCTATTTCGGGACCGCCAGGTGCCGCCCCGATTTAGCAGTTTTTTAACGTCATCGTAAAACTGCCTTGTTCCATAGTTAGAAAAGCATTATTTTACCAAATGTCATTCGCTTAGTTCGATAACGTTGTAAAGATTGTTCGTTCCGTTTACAAAAGAATAACTTTCATCTACTTATGATGTGAAAATGTGTTATTTGTAAGTGACGGGAATATTTTTTATATGCGATCGCTCCTGCTTATGCGACAACCTAAAAATATATGTTAACATCACGTGACTGACGATCGCTATTGAACAAGTTTTTAGAATGACACTTTAGCGCTTTATTTTTTTTCTATAAATTGCCACACCCACACACTCAGTTTAAAATTATTATTAGTACTTATATAATTTTGTGAACATGGAGACTATAAAATAAGAAGAAAAAAAACTGTAACACCACCAATATAATTCAGGTCATTGGACCTGGACCATGCGCCTATAGGCATAAAAAGAAGGGTCACTACTTCTTTAACTACTGCCAAAGAGACTTAACCTATCAGTAGGGACCAAGATTTCATTCAAATGCCATCAGCAATGAAATATTTTTAGTTTCAATGAAACATCCTCATACTTGTCTGTTTCATCCACTATTAAGAAGTAAAACGTCCCATTATAGCACATTTATCAATATCAAGATGAAGTACCTAGCGATTATTATTGGTTTAGCTACTTAATCGTAAACATTATACCCGTATGCTTAGCGCTAAACTTACATTAAAAGGCATTCAAGTGCAATGTAATGAAATCATGCACTTAAAAATCCATGCTCACGATGGTTGAGAATGATGTTGTGTTTGTGTGTATGTGTCAGCACGCATCTTTTATAAGTTAATTTAGCGACCTATTACAATTAAGTTGTGCCCCATTGTCGTGGTTTTGTTCTCTTATTTTTTTAGATGACTCAAGGACTGTTTGTTTTCAAATTCGACCCATATTGCTTAAAGTCTGGTGAATTACGAGAAATTTGTCCAGACTAACCGTTTGTTCTTATCCATCCTCTACAGTAAGTAATAATATGTAAAGACAACGTTGTCAAGCATGTCGAGTAATGTGCTATCCCTAAAAATATACACGGTGAAGTAATAGTAAAATTTGTTAAGTTTAGTTTTGGTTAGGTTTGAACATTTGAAAGATCTATTGCGAAGTGTGATTTAATGAGTATGAATTTTTTGAATTCAAGTAGAACAACTTTATTTTGCCTAGTCAAGGTTCAAGCAATTAGCAGACAAATGCGTATGAATTTGAGTTAGTGCCGGGACTATTTAGGTAGATGACAATAACAAAATTGAATTTGAAAGGAGGCAAATTTAAAAATTAATTAGTATGGACAGAGAAGCATAAAACAAAATAAATAAAATGTGTAGGTCATAAAAACTTGTATAATATAAAATTATTCGGACTTCAGAAATGTGTAGTTGGTGATTGATGCTCCTACAATCCGAAGTGATTAGTTTTACATGCAAAAACCAAGTAATGTTAATGTGTAATAGTGTGAATGTGTAATAACAGCATATTGTTCCCTTAAGTGTTAAAGGGTTGCTTTTGTTCACAGAGTGTAATCGTTTTTAATAACAACTTTGATCTTATTTATGTAGTTAATCCCGTCGCTCGTTGAATATATTGGCTGGGCCTACTATAAAAAACCTACTCTTAAAGTGTGTGTAGACATATGTATAAATAATGAATATTTTCGTTGACTTCAAAATTTTTAGCACTTAAAAATAATTTCTAAATGTCTATGAAATTTAAGTCTGTTTTGGGTATAGAACAGCAAAATTCTCAGGCCTTTTTAGGTCAAATAAATTATTCTAATTGATACCTTCGAAGTTTACTTAACATAGGGTGTAATTTAACAATTTGCACATTAACATTATTTAAACTTCCAAAGTCTCTGGCACCTTTGAAGCAATGATCCACGCCGCTTAGCTTTTGTGTATATTGAAAGAGTTTTCTTTTTATAATGATTATTAATATTTTTAATGATATATACTATGATTTATGTGTTGAATGAATACTGTACAATGATTTTTGTTTCATTTAAGGATATAAGTGTGAATTATGAAAATCGAAATTTTTCACTAACAACCAATCTAATTTGAAATGTGAAAGTAGGAAGGAAGAGATTATCTAATCTTCAAATTCTGGCAATAACACCCACTT